CAACGTCATAAGCAACATAAATTTTAGGGTAACAATCACTTTTTTTTGTGCTGTTGTATGCTTCTCTTTAGCTCCTCTCTGTAGATCCAGGAGCAGTCTAGAGGCGTTGTCGGTGTTGGTGTTGCCCTCTAGATCAGTGCGCAGGGCTGGATTTTTGGGTTGAGCTGGGTTTGTAGGATGAGAATAACTGACTGCGGTGTCCTCTAGAACATCAGCAATTAATATGCCAACTTTAGTCCACTTTCGGGTCTCTTTGGACGACTGCTTTGGGAGTTGTCTCGCCAGCCATTTTTTCGATTATGCTCTGGAGTGGGTTGATTTAGGGCTAGGGTTTTGCAATGGAGATAATGCTCTGGAGTCGGTTCGCTTGGACAGAAGAGAGATGAGTTGGCACGATCAATGAGGAATTATTTAGATAAACGGGAGGTGGTTAAATCAAAGGGCATTTTGGGATTTTTTTGGTTTTTGCACGTCGGGTCACGTGGGGAAGGGTTTTTGGGGGGTATAAGTATTTTGTGATAGTTTTGGAGAGCTTAAGGGGGGTTATTGGTTGCGACAAATTGGGGCCAAGTGGAAAAGCTGTTTTAATGGAACAATTTTATCCATTTGAGATATTTTTAGTGGGATAAAGTGGGATAAGTGGGATAACGAGACAATTTGAGCCTTTAATTTGACAATTCATGTGAGATAATTGATGATGTGATACTTTATTAAAATATAATTTTATCTATTAATTACTTCTAAATTTAACTTATCCAATTTAATTTGACAATTCATGTGAGTATATTATTTAGTATATTATTATAATATAAACATTATTTTACTTTAAATTAAAATATAATATGTTGTACTATAATGACTAATAAATATTATTAATTATTATATTACATTACATTATACTATATTATATTATATTAGCATGCTATACTATATAATAATTAATATAATATAAGATCAATATATTTAATATAATATTTTAATAATATAATATTTAATATACTACATTATTTTATTTCTACAAAAATATAATATGTTATACTATATTACTATTTGATATTATTAATTATTATATTATATTATAATATATTAGTATGCTACATTATATAATAATTGATATAATATATGAACAATATATTTAATATAATACTTTAAAATATATTATTTAATTTAATATATTATAATAAAATATCATAGGATATAATGTACTGTATAAATTATTATAATATTTTACTTTATTCAATGTAATATTTTTTAAAATATTATATTATAACTAAAATATTATATATATATTACATGATAATTATAATAATATATATTAAAAGGTATCATGTTATAGTATAATATATTATAATATTTCAAACTATGGTATTATATTATATTATATCATAATATTTTATTAATATTAGTAATTATTATATTATATTATAATAGTATGTCATATATATAATAACTAATATAATATATAAACAATGTATTAGTATACTATCTAATTTAATATATTAGAACAGAGTCATAGGTTAAAATTTACCATGTAAAATATTATAATATTTTTTATTTAATATAATATTATTTAAAATATATATTGTAATTAAAATATAGTATAATATTATATGATAAGTACTATGATATATAAAAATATCTAAAATATATCAAAAATATATTATATTATAGTACAATAATAAATTTATTATATTAATATAATATAATCACATAACACGGTTTATATTATATTATATTTTATAATTAAATGTAATATACTAACATATTTATTAATTTTAATATGTTATATTATATTATACTATATTATTATATTGGTTTAATATAATACACTATAATATAATTGCTACAATAAAATATCAACTACAATTAATATGATATATTATATAATAATATATTTTATTAAAATATTATATAATATTATAATAAATATGTTATACTATTATATAATATATTATGTGATATTGCATAATAATATATAATAAATATCATAAAATAAATTATACATACAAATTAAACTATAATAATATTTTATTTTATTACATGATAATATAATATAATATATTGAATATATTATTACTTTATATTTTATATATCATGTTATATATTTATAATATATAATTAGCATGTATTAGTTAAGTAATACAAAAAGGTTTAAAAATTATCCCAATTGCCTTCAAAGTGGAACAAAATTATTCCAATATGGAGGATGAGGTAAATTTTTACTACTGGGATAAATTTTTTGTATATGAGTGGGATAATTTTATCTCAAGTGGTGAAATTGTCTCCCTAGTGTTCCAAAAAATCAATAACATAAAAAAGTAATATCATTGTTCCATTGTCCCAATAAATAACACTATGAAATAGAATCCCTAAAATTATCTCATTATCCCCCCAAATATCCTAATGAATAACCCTATGAAATAGAATCCCTAAAATTATCTCATTATCCCCCCAAATGTCCCAATGAATAACCCTATGAAATAATTCGTTTTGGGGGTTAGAAGCAATTTTCTCTTTTTTTAATTATTGAAGAACAAATAATTACTTTTATATTATAAAGTCACATTTTCATTTAAAAAAATATCGAGCATTAGTTATTAGTTCTGCTGTATATACGGGAGTTGAAGAAAGCCTTGCGTTCAACCGGCAGACATCAAAAGGTGTTGCAGGAGCCACATGAAATAGACACATAACTTTTGCAAAATGGTTAATTTCACATAATCTGCATGAATTTTGGAGTCTTCCACATCACCCTCTAAATTATGTTTCTCTCGTATAATCTCCATAAACTTTAGAATCCCTCACTAAACCCTCTAAAATTTCATTTTTTTGTAGACTTTTACCAGTAATTTGCAAATAACTAAAATGTCTTTAAGATTAAAAACAAAATCTCAATTTTGTCATTTACAAACAGCCACTCCCCAAAATTTTGAAATTATTTTCTCTCGAGGAAATTTTATTTATTTGCGTATTACATGTTGAGGGTCATTGAGAAGAATTGTTTAAAGTTCAAAGGGGTTTTGTGAGTCACCCCAAAGTTTGTGAACCTTATTGAGGTAAACAAAGTTCAAGAGGCTATTTGGAAGATCCACCCCCAAAAAGAATTTTTTTGGGGGGTTGGGTTGTTGGGGGAGGTGGGGGCTTGGCCTTTGGGCTGTGAAATTAACCCAAGTGGAAAAAAGCTAAATTTTCTTTATGATTAATCGAATTGGTGCTGTTCGAATGCTTCAACTCCACAAGAATCATTTTCTTTGTCACCTTTTTATTTATTTATAATGAAAGCATAGTTACGTCCAATCACAACAAATTACTTTCTCCAAAAATGTTATCGTGCTGATTGTGAACCCATAATTGTCTCACAAAAAGTTATCTAATATGGTTTTATGACATGAGAGCATTTGCCTTTTTAGTGTTGGTCGATTCAGGAGCTTTGCTACCGTCTGTGCTTGTTTTGAATCAATTACGTGAAGCAACTATATATGAGAGTATATTAAGTATATAATTACTATTGTGTCAGTAATCCCTCTAATAATCCAATTGCCACTCCAACTTCATGAGAAGGGAATAAATTTGAAATAGCTTAAATATAAGGACATAATAGCAAGTTCAAAGATTTGTAGGATTACTTTCAAAATAGCTTAAGGATTGGTTTTATCTAATAACAATTTCAATGTATTGAGAGATTATTTCTAAATATAAAAAAAAGGAAAACTACAATCTCAAAGAATAAAATTTGCAATTGTTTTCGCAGTTGCAATTTGTAGAAGAACATTAACTACGATCTCAAAGAAACAAGTAAATTTAGTTGTAAACTAGTTAGAGTTATCCATGCACTTTCCAGAATTTCAAGAGAGATGGTCTTATGGGAATAAACAAAAGATCAGAGAGTGAAGCTGAAGAGGCATACTGATAGGCAAATGAATTTTATAAATAACTGACGTGAAGATCGTGATGATTCTGATGAATGTCATAAGAAAGTTGAAAAATATATATTTAAAAATAGATAAAACAGATAACGTCTCCATAATAATAACTATAACATAGCATTGAACAACTACTACTTATAACTACTACAACTGGTAACAATCGTTTCAGTTCATAGTAACCGATTAAATACATTTGTTTTACCATTATACATTTCTGCTTTTGTATCAATTCTAGTTGAATGTCACTTCTTTTCGTCCTAGTTAAAACTCTAATTGACTAATAATATATTTATCCTCCAGATTATATCAGATTTCATCTAGAATTGTTATTATGTAAACACTTACCTAATCACAACTGAACGGAGGGAATTTATAAAAAAAAATCCCCAAAGGTTTGCAGAAAATACTGAAAAATATTCTTAAACTTTAAAAATGAATAAAAATTCTCATCTCACTTGAACTTTCCATCAAGAAACTCACATCAAAGCTTGTTCGACATTTCATTGTTGGTTTTAAAACCTAAAACTTCCCTGTTATTTTTTTCCAAAACTCAGAATGATTTTCTGTAATTTTTAATTAAAAAAATCCACACGCTCATTTTAGGAAGGAGGTGACTGTTCCCTGCACATCTCAACGCCCTCGCCACTACAAAAATAAGCGATTCATTGGTCTATGACGACTATGACTTCCCACCAACACCCCCCCCCCCCCCCCCCACGCCCATGCTCTCATGTAAATGGCTCCCCCCCCACCCCCCCACCCCCCATCTGAGAATATCCCCCATCCCACCTCTTCATTAATCCCCCCAGGCCCAGCTATTTAATCCCTCTCTGCTTCCCATCCCACTCTCTCTTCTTCTTCTGTCTGGCGGCGGATTTTGGAATAGCCAACAAAAACATAGGCGATAACATTTCCATTCAACATCAACACCCCCTCCTCCCTCAATGTAAACTCGCCCCCTAAAATCCACGCACTCGACAACCGCTTTGTCCTCATCGATTCTTCCCCCCTGTTTTCCTCCCTCGTCCCCTTTACCTTCGCGCCTCTCGCTCAGTTCGCATTTCGAGGCGGAGGATGACGAGACGGCGACACGCGGCGGCGGCGGAGGAGGCGGAGCGGCGGCGGTTCCCGGCGGAGGTCGAGGCCGCGGAGACGGATGAATTCAGAGGCGGGTCGGTTCTTGGAAGAGACGAGATTCTGAGAGGCGATTCACTTCCTGGTGTCAGAATAGCGGCTGCTGTTCAAATCGACGGGGCCCCTAATTATAGACAGGTCTGAGCTTGGGATTCTGTCTGATTTATGTTTGATTTTAGTTTGTTTTTGGAGGCTATGATGTATTTGGCGTTGATTGTGATTACTAGTCCTTTTTTTTTTGGGTGGTGGTGGGTAGATGAAGTGCAGTTGGGAGAGTCATTTTCTTACTACTCTCTTATTAGTTGTGTTTAATCGTTATTATGTTTTTCTGGATTTTTTTTTGCATGTGGAAGAGGACTTGATTTCTAATTATGATTTGAATGGAATTAGGATACATGTTTCCATTGAATCATTTAAATTGACTGACTTCAACATGCATGGAGCTGGAGGAATAAAGAAGGGTATTGATGGAAATCTGAATTAGGGGTAGCTGTGATTAATTTCACGGGTATAGAAAGTTCCTTGGAACTTAATAAAACAAAAGAAGGTTACATTTTTGCTCCTTCAATATGCATGAAGCTCGAGGAATGCACAAGTGCAGGCAACACTGAGATTTATGTTTATTTTTAGCCGATCTTCTTTAAAATTAGAATGTATTTTGGTAGATGAAGTACGGTTTGGAAGTTTATTTTTTATTTTTATTTTTGCTTTGTATATGAAGTAAATTTAGTTCTGGATCACTTCAATTAGTTACTAGTTATATTTTCTGGATTTTTTGCTTGCGGAAGAAGAATTGATTTATCATATGTTTAAAATGGAGTGGGATCAAAGCATATAAATTAATTGACTTTAATTTTTAGCACATGTGGGAAATTATAGCATGTTCAAAATTTTTTTTTTCCTGGGTAGATGGAGTAAGTTGGAAGAGTCAGTTTATTATCTTCCAGGAATATAGTTTAAGACCTCTCATCGGGGTGTTAGTTGAGTTCTTTATTTCTCTTTGTTTTTGTTTCATGTGATGGAAAAGCGTTCATTGAATCATATAAAGAACCAACGAACGCTCGTTGAATCTTATAAATTGACTGACTTTAGTATGCATGCAGCTTGGGAAAAAAGAAGTGGATTGATGAAAATGGAAAAATGCTATTTGTGATTAATTTGATGGATAAAATTTGACTGACTGTAATATCCATGCAGCTGGATAAATAAAGAAGTGTGATCATAAAAATGGAAAAAAAGACTATTTGTAATTAAGTTGAGGGATATAGAAAATTCCTTGTAAAAACGAAAGTGTTATATTGTCGTATTAAACACATGTCTTGCTTAAACGTTCCAAACTGGCACAAGCATCGATTTCTTTGTTTTGATTGTTACTTTGCTAAGAAATTTGTATTTGTTACTTTGCTAAGAACTTTGTATTTGTAAAAACGAAAGTGCTACTTTGCTTAAACATTCCAAACTGGCACAAGAAGGAGTGGTAGCTCATTTACCTTTCTTTTGATTGTACTTTGCTAAGAACTTTGTATTTGTTCCAACCTTAAAAAATGTAGCTTTCAGGAGTGTTGGCTGCAATCACTACATGTGGAGATGTTTTCCTATGTTGACATTTCACACATATTGAATGTTGAGTGTACCTGAGATCCAATCATTCATGTTCATATTTCTTTAATTGGTCTGAACTTTTAAATAAATCTATGTATTTATCTTCTTTCATCCATGGATGGTTTGGTGGATAAACATGGAAGATTAAATAACTAATATAACTTTTGTAGTAGCTTATGGTAGGTGGCAATTTGCTGTTTTCATTAGGTCATGTTGTCTTCAATAGGCCATTTGCATACGGGTGCGACCCCAATAAAAGAAAACTTATAGATACAGATTTCTTTTTATAACACTTCTCATGCCTTTTGAAATATTTAACGAAATATGTACATGCATAAACTGATAAGACAAAGATTAATAGGACTTCATCTTCGAGCCAAACCTATGATTTGTAGCATTTCAAATTTTCAAGGGAAACTTAATTGTTTCTATATTGGTTTGTTTTTTACTTTTTCCTCTGGGTACATTCGGTCTATTTGTAGTTGAACGATAACGTGTTCTCCAACCATGAAATCAGGAATCATGAAATTGAAAGGAAAAAAATTCAATTAATGTTATTTGGTTACATGTGATCGAGATGATTTGTTGAATTATGGGTTTGGCTTGGTTGGGTGTATTTGTACCCTTATCTCATGATAGTCAAGTCATGTAAAAATTGCATGCTCTTGAGAAAATTGTGGAAAGTTCAAGTCAGAAAATAATTGATAAGCACCATCACTCTTCTTCTTGCGTGTAGCTTTGATATAAAACAATTAAATTCTTATCAAGATGGAGCAGAACATACTTTATCTTCTACATGCTATAAGATGAGCAAAGTTATATGTAATTAGACAATGATGGACACGTGCTGATCTGTGGCTGACACACTAATATTTGGTTCGGAAAAGTGTCTTACATATTGTGGGAAAAAGGTGTAATCTGTATTTCCCTACTTCCTTCCAGTGTGGTGCTTCCACCTAGCATCAGTCTGATGATCAAAGTATCGTTCCTCTCGTTTTATAGCAAAGCAAGATGCTGGGCTCTAAAAGCTGTGGCCAGTTGTTGAGTGTTTCCATTACCCAGGAGGTTAGGTAACGCCACATTTTTTGACATGATCTTATCTAACTGCATGGTTGCATAAAGTTGGCAATTAAAATTTTGCAGTTTTGAAAATGAAGCATGTAAAGACTGATTTCTACATCAACCTATACTCAATTTCAACATGGGCAGTATGTACATGCTATAGCATGTTAGCTTCTTTATGAACTTGATTATGACCTGATGTTCAAATAGCCCATGGTCTATAGATCACTTGTATATAGTTTGATCTTTAATCAAGAACCTGAATATTATCTGATAATTTGGAAGATTTGGGTGCCTCATGTATTGAACAAAACAGCCTTACAAGTTGTTTATTCTTATAATTCTCTACTTTATGTGGCTAACCTAGAAAATAAATAAGTATTCTTATGCTAATCTGAGCAAATGGGGGTAAGGCTGGTCCTATTTGTGCTGAACCTGCATGTATTATCAACATTTTAATTCATCATCACCAATGCCAATTTTTCAATGACAGGTACAATAATCTATTTATGACAATTTTTTTTATTTTGTAAAGAAAATAGTAAACTGGTTTACATGATGTAATCTAAAATTACATTTACACACTTATTTGCTGCAACATGGCTCTGGAACAGCATATTAATGATGAAACAGTATATCGGAAAAAAAGCAACAACCATGTTATTCAACAAACTTATAATAAAGTACTTCTTTCCTGATTTAATGATGAAGCAGTATATTGGAACAAAGCGACAACCATGTTATTCAACAAACCTACAATAAAATACTTCTTCAAGTGTGTGTATGTGGTGTTTTTTTCTTCCGCCTTTCCCCCCTTTTGGATTAACGGTCCAGTTCTAGAGAAATTTCCAATTTTGAACACGACGAAGAACACACTACATATTTGACAATAAGTACAAAAATATTGTAAAATTTAGAAGTTTATTAGGCAATAATATGTGCTTTTTAACTTGCACCTATCCTTTTTGTTTTAGAACTTCTATAATTTCAAAAGAACAAATGAAATACTTTCGAGGCTTTTCACAATTGGGAAAGTACTTAATCCGCATAATTAAAAGTGTAATTCCATTACCCAAGAAAGTGTTAGTTTATTTTGAAAGTTGTAAGGTGGAATTTGGAACGTCCTTACCACGTCAAAATATCTTGAATTATCACATGAGATTCTAGTATCTTATAAAAATATTTTGGTATTTTACGAAAGTTGGACCTGAGAAATGGGATCAAAGTAAATTAGGTTGCAAGTGTGCCCAGGAAATTGGTGTAACCACTGTACCAAAAGCTTATGCTTGCCCAGAAGGGATTCTTCCTATGTTTATGCAAGCAATCATCGAAATAACAAGACTACTTCTATCATCAAGCAATGGCTGTCTTGAGACTTCGACACCTGTACACATTTACGGACATTGCTTGAATATGCAAATACACTTAGGGTCTGTTTGGTTGATTTCCTAAAAACCAAGAAATGGAAATGAAAAGGTGGAAATCTCAAAAAATACAATTTCATCCATTTCCATCCCTAAAATTCACCCACAACATCCAATAAAATATTATTTTCATCCAACAACTCATCCACAACATCTAATAAAATATTATTTTCATCCAACAACTCATCCACCACATCTAATAAAATATTATTTTCATCCACAACATCACTCAACTCATCTCATCTCATCATTTTTTCATCCACAACATCACTCAACTCATCTCATCTCATCATTTTAAATCACTCACATCATCCAATAAGATGGTAACAACTCATCTCATCTCATTAACATTTCATTTCCACCCATTTCCTCCCAAAAAGCTAAGAAAACGATTTCCTTAAGTGTGGGTCACATCATCCAATAATATAATGACAACTCATCTCGTCTCATCTATTTTCTTATTTTTAAGAATGAACCAAACAAAAGAAAACAACCTATTACAAGAAATAGGTTTCTTATAATTCATTTTCTTATTTTTTTCGCCAACCAAACAACATCAAAACAAGTTTTCTTAGAAAAAATCACTCACGTCATCCTATAATAAGGTGACAACTAACATCATCTCATCTCCATTTCTTTGATTTCCTTCTTTTTTTAGCAACATCATCTCATCTCCATTTCTTTGATTTCCTTCTTTTTTTAGCCAACCAAACATTCCCAAAACAATTTTTCTTAGAAATAGTTTTCCCAACCAAACATTCCCAAAACAATTTTTCTTAGAAATAGTTTTCCATTTCTTTGATTTCCCTCTTTTTTAAGGCAAACAAACAGCCCCTTATTCAAATGTGCCCTTTACATAATAATATGTTTAGTTTAAAGCACTCATCACGCATTTCTTGGAAAGATATCCTACATTTCACATATACTTCTTTATTCATATTACATGTTTGAGATATCTATTTATTTTCATTTATACACCAAAGACTATGGTGAAAAACACTAGAATAATATTAACTTTATAAACCTAGTTTTAAATCAATCTAACAATTCATATGAAGTTGAAGAGCCGACTCAAATAGTCATATTCCTTTTGCAAAGGCATAAAATGTACAGTTCTTCAAAAGATTAGCATATGTGTAATGATTATATACGTTTTATATAATTAGAAATAACTGTTTAGGTTCTTGGATGCATGAACATGTGTATGTACGTATATATACTCTCTCTTTATTATTATATATAATATAATAAATGCCAGTTTTTAATATATATTATAATATCATGTTGCGTCACAGTGTCGCCATGTCCTACTTTTTGAAGATCTACCATGTCCTGTGTCCTTGTCCATGCTAATTAGGCGGTTATTCTTGCAACCTGGCCTTGTTATAAATTCAAGTGCTTGATAGTTGATATGTGTCGTCCATGGGGAATACATGATACGATGAAGACTGTAGCAAATGTTTTTACACTTGTCTGCTGGATCCAGTTATTTTAACGAAGACGTACATCATGTTTTTACATTACACTGGACACACAAGCTGGCATTCTATTATCATCAAATAGGTTGATGTCCTTTAAATATTGCATAGAGTGGTTACTTTTTTTCTATTTGAAGTGAATGATTTGGTATTGAGCTCAAAGCGGGAGAAAAGTTTGATGGACATTGTTTGCTCTGGAGTAGAAGCACAAGTTGAGACTGTAGAGTGGAAAATAGGGACATACATGAAAAACTATTATTGAGGGAGGCCTTTGGTCACCATGCACTGACATATATTCACACCCATATACACTGTACATAGATGTATCTTGTTTTGTTTTAAGTGAATTATATACATGTATATTCATACATGGCATTTTTGTCAAGTCATATACTCATAACATTGTCTCATCTTTAGCCTTATGACCACCACTCTGTTGCCTCTCCATACAACATCTCTTTGCTGAAGCATGCAGCTTGCTAATTGGGAAGGGTATTTAACTCTTCATGTCTACTTATGTTTGATTCTAATAGCATATTAACTTCCAAAAGGCATCCTTATTTTATTTAGGCTGGTTCCTTGCGAGTTCATGGTGTTGCTATACCTACCATCGACGGGATCAGGAATGTACTCAATCACATTGGAGCACATAAGAATGGCATGCACAAAAGAGTGCTATGGCACAACCTTCGTGAAGAGCCGGTGAGTCGGTTTTGTTTTTCTTCTTACAATGAGACATATATCGACAAAATAGTGAGGAATTGATGGCTGTCCTGTCCAGATATTTAGAATAGCTATTTTTAATTTTGTGTGAATTAAGCTGAGTATTTGTTTTTTTTTCAAAATTTTCAACCAGGTGGTGTACATCAATGGGCGCCCTTTTGTTTTGCGGGATGTCGAACGACCCTTCTCGAATCTTGAATACACGGTGTGGATATTCTCTGTTGATTAATTTGTGATGATGCCTAACATTTTATTATTTACTTTGAACTATATGTTACTGAATCATATTTATTCGCATATGCCAAAATTTAATTTATTCCAAAAGTATTATGGGTAAGATTGGAAAACGGGTGGCTGTTTAATTTTGGAAGAATGATATTCAGTCTTCTATATTCATCAAAGTAAATTTGTCTCTTCATCAAAATTTCCTATTCAGTTGATGCTTGTGATGAACACAATTCTCTGTAAGAACTTTTTTGGGATCAACACCATCATGGAGTGTTTCTGAAGAGCCTAAAAAGAAGTATCTCTGAAACTACATATACAGCATTGAACTATTGCCAAATGAGGACAAGATGGACAACCGAAAAATGTTTGGTATATGGATATGCAGTTTTAAGGTTTAATTAGCGGGCTTCAGGTTTTCTAGGCCACAGAAGTGGGGGAACATGTGCAAAGTTAGTAGTTGATTTTGAAAAGTTATTGATGACTCTCTTTTAAGCATATAGTGAACCGCGGAACAGGATGCAGTGAGCTGATAGTTGGGATAAGGGGTTTAATAACCATTCTCGTTGGGCCACTTTTTGGTAGTTATCATCTCCTTTGATTGGCAGTTGCAAGGGGGCTGTTATGGGGGACTAGGGAATACTGATGCACTTATTTATATTGAATAAGCTGTCTTCAAATGCTATCAGTTTCTTACCGTGAGATCCTCGGAATTAATACCAAATTGAGTAATAGCGTAAGAGAACAAAATTTTCGAGGTTAAAGCCATCAGAGATCCTCAAAGATGACCTTGGTTGTCTATTCCAAGGATACATAATACCTCACTATTCAATCATATCCTCAACAGAAGCAAGAGGAGAGAATCTTATTCACTAAAAGAGAACCCAAGTCTGGGACAATCTTAAGCAAGGTATATGACTAGGGCCAAACTTACTGACCAAGAGGAGCCTATTCTCTTAGGGATTCTAATATGAAAAGCTTAATAAGAAAAAGAATCAGAATCATAATCTAATTGGAAGTATCCAAAACTTCCAGAAATATCAGAATCATATGCTGATTTTTAATAGTAAAATTCCAAATTAATCTGAAAATTAATAAGAAAATACCAGAATGCTAACAAATTAGGAATCTATTGATGCAAATTACTAATGAACATGTAGCTAATTGTACGATATCAAAAGTGAATTTATATCATTACTTTAGAGCTATGTTACCTTGGTACTTCTAATCTTAAGCGGTACCCATACTCAACACGTACTCGTACCCTTACTCAAATTTCTTGGACGCTCCTTGCATATATGCATACATTTATTCGGGATGTTCTCAAATATGCTATACATGTTTTAATTTAAAACACTTGTCATACATTTTCTGGACATATATCCTACACTTCACATCCACTTCTTGAAACTCATTGGACATAGGTCAGATTCCGAATTATGATTTGAAGGAATGTTTAGATGTCTAGTTCAGAAACTAGTGATTTTTCCAATTTATAATCCACATAATAAAAGAAACATAAAAATGTTATAGAAATTTTAATTCTCATCATTGTTCTCATATAAATTATTAATTCCAGTGTATAATATATGTGTATATAAATGTTTATATAGCGGTGTCCCCATACCCTGCCTTTTATAAATTTGCCATGTCCCATACCCGTACCCATACCCGTATACGTGCAACATAGCTTTATAGTCCAGAATCACCAAAAATGATATCCAGCTAGAAGATGGAGGGATTCATACACCTTGCGGTCTGATCATTGGATCATGGTGGGCTTACAGGATGGTTTAAGTCTAAAGTTTGCAGGTTAACTAAGCTAAAAGCATGCCGTACTGTAACTTTGATGCAAATCCCAATACATATATGCACAGGTATCCACACGTAAACTTGTTTTCTTTTTCTTTGCAAGGCTAAATTTGTCTATTCTTGAGAAGCACATTTGTTCTGGTGATAGTTAATATATGTGGTTCCTATAGAGTTTTTGGTGGAGCGTGTATGAAAACATAAGATGTATGTACACTAATTTGACGAAATTCAGGGAAACAGGTCATGAGCCTAGTTTGTAATGGAGATTGGAGGCACATGTATGAGAGTAGCGGTTGACATAAAGGTTTCATGTCTTTTTGTGGTTTCACACCAGGATGACTTCACAACTGGATGGCTTCACACAACCACGAAAATACTATATATCACCACTGTAGATATAATCTTTTAGAAACTTTTCTTTCTCTTAATCAACTCACTAGTCAATGCTTGCATAGGAAGGATTGCAGTCTTTATAAGGAAATCTAATTCTAATCATGGAAGCAGGCTTATTGAGGCGCGCACCTCGGGCGTGCCCCGGGCACGGGGCGCTTCGGCCTAGGGGAAATGCGCCCTGCACGCGAGGCGGGGCGCTGCACGTAGCGAGGCGCGCGCCTCGCGTGCGCCTCGCTCGCGCCTCGCGTGCGCCTCGCGCGCGCCTCACGTGCGCCTCACACCTGCGTTATGTAACATACTCTTTTTTCTAATTTTTTTTAAAAATTTACATAATTACATATTTATATCATGTAATATACTCTTTCTTACTAGTTGCTAATCTATTTTTATCTTTTCATGTTTAACCTATAAAAAGGAAACAATAATTAGTAATTTACTATACTTGTTTGCTAATTGTAACTTCATTCTCTAATTAGCATGCTAACTAGCAAATTATAAACATGTAAATATGTAATTGTTACATTCATTCTTCATCTTTTCATGCTAAGTAGCAAATATCAATTAAGAATACTAACTAGAAAATTATGAACAGTCATGTTTGTTAATTATATTTCTTAGTCTTTTATGTGACAATTTATAAACATATGCTCATAATTGTTAATCACTTAATTTGATGATTTAAATACATGTTTCTTGTATCTTTTTTATTACTTTAAAAATTCAGTTAGCATAATTTGATGATTTAAGTTGATATTCTCATAATTTTGGATGTAGGTAACTAATATGTTGCTTATATGTTTCTGTCTTATGATGTTGGCAAATATTAGTTTGAGTTATGCGCCTCAATTAGTGAGGCGCGCGCCTCGTTGTGCGCTTTGCACATGGTGCGCGTAAGGGACCTTTGCGCCCCGCATTGCGCTTTGCGCCTCGATAACACTGCATGGAAGGATTGCAGTCTTTATAAGTAAAAATAACTTAAAACATAGGAAATCTAATTCTATTATGGAACTAAAATATTTGCCTTCAACTTAGGCTTACAACACGTTTTGAAAAAAAACATGATGTTATCACTACTTTTTCAAATATTCCATGATGAGATTTGAACGAACAAGGATTCTTTTAATGTAGTTACTAGTTAGGTAGTTGGTAATTGGAGTTAGTCTTGTAGATAACATGTCAAAATCATAAGTAGTTTTAGTTCTTCATATCTGTACTTTAGGTCACGTTGATCTATGGTATGTTAGTTTTTAAAGATTGGGACCTCTAATCCCTCTGATTAATGCACAAATAAAAATAATGATTAGATGGTGGCTGTATGCTTTTAACTCTTATCTTCAGGTTGAAAAGTAAATAGTCATGTAGGAAGGCATGGTTCTGAAGGAGTTTTCATAAGTTAAATGATTGCTCTTCAAATGGTATAAACTATGAAAATGTGAACCTGTTATCATTTTTTGCGTCTTTCTTACTTACTTTTACTTAGAGTTAGATGTTGATTTGTTTTAGTGTTCCAAGTGATCAAGTTTCCATTGCTGCTCGAATTATTATTTATTTAGAAAACACATGCACTATTTCTTGATTTCTCTTGCATTCATATTAGTTGATATTTCCACCTAATTTCTTATTTTTTCTTGACCAATTTTCAATATGAAAATAGGGAATCAACAGGGCCAGAGTTGAACAGATGGAATCTCGCCTAAAGGAGGACATACTCTTGGAAGCTGCACGGTATTCTTTTTATAGATAGTTCAATTTTCAATCACTTGGAAGGAGGAATCCTTCTGGAAGTTGCCTTATTATTTTAAATATGACATAGCAGATATGGAAATAAGATCCTCGTAACTGATGAACTGCCAGATGGTCAGATGGTGGATCAGTGGGAACCTGTGATGCATGACTCGATAAAAACAACTCTTGAGGTACATTGAGGCATGAACTTCGTATTTCCATAGGATGATTTATGACAGAAGCTTATGGAACATACATTTACTGATAGTTGCAAGTATGTTTAGGTTTATGAAGAGCTGCAGGTCGAAGGATACCTTGTTGACTATGAGAGAGTTCCTATTACAGATGAAAAATCACCTAAAGAAAGTGATTTTGACAATTTGGTAAGTGTTTAAGATTTTTGTTCATTATTACTTTCTGTTTAAAATATTTTACTTCTGAAATTATAAAATGAACATAAAAAGCTACATGAAAGAAGAGAAATGCAGGGGTCATGATAAGACATAATTCACTGTTAAACTGCTACAAGATAAAACATCATTGTCCAGAACATTCCATTTTTTTTCTAGATATCCCTTCAAAATCCATATGGGGAACATAATGGGGGAAAAAGCAGTATGATTCATGTTCTACTTAACAAACCCTGTACATAATCATTGTCGTACTTTATCTTTCCTTTATACTGTTTGTTTCACAAACGCGTGCCATCAAAAAGTTTCTTGGCAGTCTTATTGTTTTATTTGTTTCTGTTTGAGAACTTTTTCGCACCTGCTTGCCTACTTGCCCACCTGCAAACAAATATGAAGATTGTTATGGTGTTCTTGGAAGTCATTGCTAGTCAGGTTTCAAGTACATGAGATGTGTTTATTGAGAATTTGAGAATGATCTGTTGGGTTCTTGGTCACTAAAAGGACACATGAGGAATAAGAGTTCATGCCTTCTGCAATTTCTAAGAGAATACTTTATTGCATATAGCTTACAAAAAATATTTCTGCATCTCCCTCCATCAGTACATGCATCTTGTCAGCATCTACAGAGTGGAGATTGGTCCATTGTCTTCCTCTAATCATAGATATGATGCAGTAGAACCCTTTATGTTCATGGCAGACGATATGATTCATGTGATGTGAAGGAAATTCCTGATCATTGGGTCCAAAGTTTTTGCACTGACAGCAGAACCCTTTATGTTCATGGCAGAAAACACGATTCATGTGATGTGAAGGAAATTCCTGAGCATTTGGTCCAAATTTTCTGCACTGACATGCAGAATGAAAGCAAAATTCCTTTATCTTTTTTCCCCTTTCCCTGTGCGCAATTGGGCATGGGGGGAGGCTGGCGGGTGAGTATTTGTTCTGAAGTTCTAGTTGATACTTGAGGCCCCAGGGACCTTTTTTGACAAGCCATGGTATAGATACTATGACCTCATTTAGACCTTCCAACTAAACACCTGTGTGTACATGACGAGCTCAATGTTAGGCAATCTATTTGCAGAAGCATATTGGCATCTCTTGCAACCGCCCATACCAAGTTGGACATAAGTTCAATCTTTCACTCAGCCGCAAAGCCTCAACTGCAGTAAAAAATGGAAATCCATGGTCCACAATCCTGCAACTGTTCCAATTTAGAATATGATGCACGATGTAGCACTATTGCACAAATAATGTCTAATTTGTTTGGGATATAGATATCGACATTGTAGAATCTTTTGGCAGGCGACTAGGCGACCAAGGTGGCACTAGCACCTAGTGCTTAGCCACATAAGCTGTGGCACTGCAGCATTAATATCTCTGTTATTACCATGTCGGCTTTATTTTTGTTCTCTAAGGTTAAAGTATTGTGACATCGACAAGAAACCATAACTATAAAGGGAGAACTCTAACATGGAAATCTTAAATATGGTGGAAGGAGGAATCCTCCACCCTATCGATTGTTTTACAATCCATCTTCTTGACAATTGTAGGCACTTATCAAAGGCTTCCAGCACCCTAATTGAGGGTTCACCTTAGACTGATTTACTGTGTTTTAGTTAGTTGGTTGAAAATTCACCTTAGGGAGACTGATTCACTTTATTTTAATTTGTTGGTCAACAACATATATCATATGAGCTTAATAATGCAGCATAAATGAGATTGTTGAAACAGATATATGCTAGAATCTTGATAACAACTAGCCATAATTAGTATTAAAATCCATGTATGGAGGTAATAGCAGATGTTGCGGGAAAGGAAGACACCCTATGGATGAAAGTTTTATTAATACGAAGAGGAAATTTTAACATTGTTGAGCTTGAAACTTATGACAGTTCAATCCATGAAGACTCCCATGAGATGGGATGTGACCTGTTCTGTATATTGGCATTTAACATATTTGAAAAATTGATTCTCGAATTGTAACAATCTCATTACTAGCCACTTTATTGGAACTCAGTGGTGCAGGTAGTTGCACATGGATATGTTGTATGGATGCCGCAGGAAAAGAAGATACCTGATGGATATCAACGGAAGTTCTATTATGAAGAGGATATTTTAACTTTGTTTAGCTTTAAACCTGATGGAAGTTCAATCCATGAAGATTCCAACCAAATGGGAAATGTCCTGTTCCTTATAATTTTATTTACATATATTTGGAAAAAATAATCCTTGAATTGTGACAGTATGATTATCTATGTAGCATGGACACTTCTATCATGAAGCTGTACCCGTAGCCAACACGTCCCATACCCACACTGGACACTGACACTCCTTGAATATGCATGCATTTATTTAAACGTGTACTCAGTTATACGATACATGTTATAATTTAAAATGCTCATCATACACTTCTTGGACGTTATCCTCTGCTTCATATCCACTTTTTGAAACTTGTTGGACAAGTGTCATGTTCGTTTCCGCACATAGTTGAGAAATATGATTTTAGAGGGTCATTTGCTTATCTAGTTCAAAAATGAAAAGATTTCAAATTTGTAATATACATAATAAAATAAATATAAAAATGATAGGAGTCTTGATTCCTATAACATATGAATGAAGAAAACATTGTTGATCTAATATAAATTATTAATTTCAATGCACACACATGTAGCCTGTCCTGTACCCTATCTTTTACAACTTGCCGTGTCTTGTTTCGGTATCAGTACCCATGTACATAGATGACTAATTCCCACTTTACTGGAATCTCAGTGGCATGGAATAGATGTATCTTTTATACCTACAAGATTAAATATTCATGCTAAATAACTGGTAGCATCTGACAATGACACCTCACAATCAAAGACATCCATGCCCGTCTCCTTTTTTTATCTATGCTATTGGGAGCATAAGTTTACACATTTGTTCAAGAATCCCAAGACCAGAAATGATAAATTGAATAATAGAACTGTCTTGATCTTGTTTGCTTCATCAATTTGTAAGAGGTCAGAGAGACTCCCATATTTTTTCTATAAAACTGATCTATGTCCACAAAACTATTTATTAGGTACTTTTACTCATTGTCTATCCTTGTAGTATACATGCCATTATCCTATATGCTAATAATCACTATCAGCAGGAGTTTATCAGTTTCCTCTGTATCTTTTCTTCACTCATTAAATGCTGTTTCTTGGTGCAGGTCCGTAGAATAGCCCAAGTGGATAAGGATACAGAAATAATTTTTAACTGTCAGATGGGACGAGGAAGAACTACTACCGGAATGGTGATAGCTACACTGGTTTATCTCAACCGTATTGGAGCATCAGGTAATGTTTTCTCATGCATTCTACTTGACATTTATATGCTTCTCAACATTCTCTATGCGTGCTTGATGCTTCTGGCATTATTAAAGTTAGAATTAATTGCAGATGGACATCCTGTAGTGTCACCATTTTCTTGCTACCCCTCTAGTTTGTTTTTACAGATAGACCCCCTGAGTGAAATTCTTTAACTCTTTTTACCCTCAGGTGGTCTGTTTGTCAAAAAACAATACCTTTTCCCTGAGGGTAAGAGAGTCAAAATAAATTCACTCAGAGGGGGAGGCAGGGGTCTATCCACAAAAATGAAACTAGGGTGGCAGTAAGTTCAAAGCATCAATACTACAGGGGGTCTATCCGCAATTAACCAGTAAAATTACTTGTATAACTTTCATCCTTTCCCATTCTCTGAAACTGGATGTCATAATTACTTTTATTGTTTATTTGTTAATTGTTACTTAATATGAACGACACTCTCAAGAAAAAAACATCCTTATGAGCATGTGTTTCCCTTCACAGAAGTTTAGAGGACTATTTGAACAGATCTCTACAGACAAGATTCTCCCTTTTCTGTTTTCAGTACATCTGATAAACATTTGTAAAATGCACATGGTCTCTATTGCCAAGCCTTTTTGTCATCCATTTCTACAAAGTAAAGTGTTTTCTATCTGCACAAGCTTTTTATAATCCAATTACTCGCGTCTTTCTGAAAACTGGTTAAACTTTTGTAGACTAGAGGTTGGCGCGAAGTATGATGAGACATTAGGTCACTATTTGTTCACTTATGGCCTGTTTGGATGGAGGGTAGAGAGGGGGAGGGGAAGAGAAATGTTATTTTACCTTGTTTGGGAGTTGCATTTAGGAGGGTAGAGGAGGGGG